GCATAAACACATTTCATTACACCAAATACACAAAATAATGTTTTTTTTAGCAACATGATATGACCCCTTTTAATTTTGTTTTAAATTAATATGAAAGATGAGTTGTTGTTTTTTTTTGGTAATCAACCGTATGTAATGGTCGATGATTGTGCTTAAATTGTATTGAACAACTAATATAGGCTGTTCACACCAAAAAAAACGATAACTGTATTAGTCAACACTAATGACTCATAAGCTTCTGTCAGTGCATGTTGCAGTTTTGTCATCTGCTGCATTAAATGCTCAAACTCTTTACGTGGATTCTGATTGGCTGTCAATGTTTTTATTGTTAATCAGCTAGAAAAAAAACACGATTTCAACAATATTGTTCTTCTGTGTCGTTATCGTTACAGTTGTAGTGTGGACTTCCCTGTTCTCCAAGATAAGAATGATTATTGAAACGTTAGTTATCAGTAGTTATCGTTCTTGGTGTGAACGAGCCTTTAGTCATTGTCACTATGGTTACAAGTTGTATTGTCAGTAGTCATGAGAATAGAAACGGGGCTTGACTTCAGTTATTCATACAGACTGAATTCAAGCTGTTCCTGTAAGCTGTTATATGAACAGGGCACATCTGTTATTAAATTCCGTTGTCAATCCCAAACACTGACTGTGTGAATGCATTCAATTATGTGGGAGGATTATAAACGTTTACAAAACCGCCCCATACCTTCTGCTGCAACTCTCACAAACTCAATATGCACTTGTAACATCTATTGAATTGTAAATGTCCCACATCACCTCAGGGTTCGATGGGTTATGTGTTGGTGAAGTGGTAGTGTTTAAACCTCAGGTGACCTTATAAACAAGTAATTTTAAGATGTTATGGCTGTGAGGGGCATATCTGCGGGGTGAGACATTACTTGGCGTCGATGATCCAGTTTATATTCAGGTGTTGATAGATTTAATAAATGTCCTTACCTCTCTCACGCAGGTGAAGAAAGAGAACGTGCGGTCCTGTGTTCTGGATTCAGAGGCGGTGGCCTGGGACAGAGAAAAGAAACAGATCCAGGCATTTCAGGTCCTCACCACAAGGAAGAGAAAGGTAAGAGGTACAAATAGAGAGAAATTTGAGCAGAGAAACGGCTGAATATAGAGGAAAGACATGTAATTGAATAGTTATATATATATATATTAGGGATGGGAAGATTCACCGATTCGCTCGGTGCATCGGCAAAAAAAGTTAACAATGCGATGCATCGGTTTAAAGTGTGCATCGGATACAAGTTGGCATTTGTATTGCGATGCTATGAGATTGCCAAACGCTCCCACAACTGGCTCAAGGTATCGCACACCACAGTGTGTTTATGTTCATAGTGAAAATACTTTTTATTTTTAATGTTTGATTAAAACGTTTAATTTGACATATTAATGTTTTAAACACTGGAATGCTATGTAGTTAAAAGAATTTCTGAAAACATTTTATGAAGTCAGACTGCAGGAACAAAAGGTGCTATAGTCTCAGACAGACAGACGCATCCTTTGTGTTTAAAAAATAAAACCCAGACAAGTATTCAAAGTCAGAAGGAAGGTGTAAGTCATTAAAGTGTAATTTCCACCCCATTAAGCTTTTCTCTTGCTCTGTATCTGTATCTTGACATTAAGGCTCAGTGTTATGATGGAATATATACTCTGACCATAGAAATGAGACAAACGGTGGAGATTCTGCTTTACCTTATATAATGTGATATATCATGTGATTGGTGCTTATCTGGGGAAGGGGAAGAGAGCAGGCAGCTATGGAGGATTTCTACTGGCCTGCTACGATGAGGAGAACGAGGAGTTCCAGTCTGTCTGCAAGGTGTGTATGCATTAGTCTGAGAGAGGCCAGGGAAAACTAGGACTGTAAATCTATTAAAGATTTTAATAAAGTAAATTAAAAATAAGTAATTTGATTAAAGATAAGTAATTGCATCATATGCAGATTTTATAAATTTAATTACTCTCATATCAACATTTTCAGCAGATTTTTTAATGAGTTATTTTGTAATGTCTAATTCATATATATATATATATATGTGTGTGTATATGTATATAGGTAGATAGATTTTCTATTTTAATATATTTTAAATGTAATTTATTCCATTTGGATCATTACTAGGAGTCTTCAGTGTCACATGATCCTTCAGAAATCATTCTAATATATTGATTTTGTGCTCAAGAAACAGTTCTTATAAACAATGTTGAAAACAGCTGTGCTGCTTAATATTTTAGTGAAAACCATAAATTTTTACTAGGATATTTGATTAATAGAAAGTTCAAAACAACATAATTTATTTGAAATAGATATATTTTTGTAACATTCTAAATGTTTACGGTCACTTTTGACCATTTTAATGTCTCCTTGCTATATGAAAGTATTAATTTATTTTTTTTAAAAACTGACCCCAAATATTTGAATGTTAAAGTATATATTAATACAATTGTCATGTTCGTTCTTGTCATGTATTTATTTATTTGTGTCAGATTGGAACAGGCTTCAAAGATGAAGATCTGGAGCAACATTACAATTTCTTAAAGGTAAAGCAAGATTTGCACTTTGTTGGTTTCCATGTTGTTTGTGTTCCTGTATTTATATATAAAGTTCAATGTCTTTATGTGCAATCCACCTCAGGAGCACATCTTACCTAAACCACGTCCATATTACCGTGTGGACCAATCAGCAGAGCCGGATGTCTGGCTGGAGGCGGTGCAAGTGTGGGAGGTGAAATGCGCTGACCTTTCACTGTCTCCGGTCTACAAGGCAGCGATGGGATTGGTCAGTACACCACGCACATGTGAATCATGAAGCTGAATCAGTGTATTTGATGACTGATGTTTTGTTGTATAGATCATGGTAACAGGTCTTAGCTCATTGTGCTTAACTTTGGCTCTTTATGGTGCCATTCTCTTCTTGGCCATCAGGTGGACCCAGAGAAAGGCATTTCACTTCGTTTCCCACGGTACCTCAGGATTAGAGATGACAAAAAGCCAGAGGATGCCACCACAGGGTCACAGGTAACATATGAAATGCAGAAAAACGAGGAGCAAGACACACAAGAGGAATTATTGTGTATTTAGTTAATGCATAGTGCTAATGTGAATACAGTGGCTCCAAAAAGTTAGAAAAAGTAAAGCAAAGATGTGTTTTGACATTGAAACGAGTAAGAAATACTTAATAAAAGATATGATATAAATAAATATATATATATAATCAATATTTCATTCATTAATTTCTTTATAAATAAAAAAATATAGTAGAAAAAGCACAAGTGTAGGAGTCAACAGTAATTACCCCACATGGGACGTTCCTTTCAGAAGCAAATGTCATAAGTGCATAATGTATGGAAAATGCAGGATATGGCACCGTATGTGTGTGTGATGTAGTTCCATGGCATATGAGACCGGAAGAGTGAGATTTTAAAGTAGTTTTTCCTTCTGAAAGTCAAACGTGATGACATTGGCGTAGTTCGGAGCTTCGTGACATCGTGATTTAGTGGAGCAAGTGGAGTGGATCCGTTAAAGGAAATCCATCTTTTTACGCTCCACACTGTCTTTCTTTCTTTTCCCCCTCATTTTCACAGTTCATTTATTTCGGTTTTCTTTTATTCCTGTCTCCCGATGGTTGGAAACGCACAGGCACACAAACACACCCTCTCAAAATGAACTATTCTGATCTCTTGCATCAGTCTTTCTCTCTCTCTTTCTCTCTTTCAGATTGCAGATCTTTACAAGAAACAGCAGCAGATTCAAAATCAGGGTGAAAAACAAGATCTGGAGGACTACTATTGATCGCTGAGCTCTGATTGGCTCCTGATGTCAGCTTGTCTTATTCCTATTGGGCAATGGAGCGTTTTTCAATATTTTGTTGCATATTAATGTGCTGAATTTTAATGCTGTGATATTGTGCGACTTGATGAAAAATGGAAATGAACATGTAAATAGTCTTTCAATGATGCGGAGCTAAAATAAACTTGCTTTTCACAAACTGACTGCCTTGGGTGTTTTTCACCAGTTTTTGTGAATGTTTTTGCCTTTTGTTATGTCTGTTTTGTGTACTTTGCATGTGATCCCTTGGGTTCATGGTTGAATTTCTCACATCAGCTTATGAATGCCCATCAATATGCCATTTTAAGTGTGCATCTATGCACAGACGATCATGTGAGTGCATATTCATGTTGAAGTGTGTATCTTTAGCGTTGTGGGTTTCCAATGAATTGGGCAACGGATCTATTGTCAGTGACCAAGATGGAAAATTAAATTATCCAGCTCTTTCTTTCCATCACTCGCTTGTGTACTCTCCATTGCTTCCTTCAAAGAATTCCCTTTCTCTTCTCCACTCTTTGCTCACCCTCTCTGAAATGAGCCTGGCAGGTTTTGACACTGTGCTTCTGTCAGAGTTAAGTCTGTAAAGAGAATTTTAAAGTGTTGCTGTGACAGTCTAGTAATATCGAGCATTCGTGGGAGAGGCTTCACCCATCTGTGGAAGTCTTTGAGAAAGGAACTGCAATGAATTAATACAAGTTTAATTAATGTGAAATTAATACAGTATTAATAATTCAACCGTTAGCGCTCATTAAAATAGCCCATGAGCTGAATGTACTTGCTTGGTTTGGATTGCAGATAAGAGCATTGATTTTAAGAACCTTGAAGCATTCGGCTAAATGACTCTGCTGTTCATTAGTAAGGGGTTGTGTTATAACCACATGTTTTTATTAACTGGAATCTAAGCACTAAACCAATCTAGTCATCCTAATATACTCACAGGCTGTGCTCAGAATGGCAGTATGCAGTATGTTTACTGAGAGTAACAGAGTTGTTTTAGTGTTATTTACAATGTATATTGTTTATTAATATTGAATTGTTTTTAACTTTAGTCTTTAGTAATTTGTTGTGCTTTTATAAATTATGATGGTTTTTTTTCTGTTAAGCTTAAACTTAGTTTTTTTTTTTTCTTCATCCAACACTGGAGATCCTCCTATAATGCAATGTGCTTGACTCCATTTCTAATGTGAAAACGTTGATTATTTGCTTGGACTCCCAAAAATAAAGACGTTTTTACACAAAAATGTAATACATTTTTATTGTGTACTTTAACGTTCTAATTTTGAAAAGTTAACACTGTGCAGTATGCTAATCTGAGAATAACGATGCATTATTCGTGTTTTGTGTGGTTTTATTTCTACTAAATAAAAACAAGCACTTTTTTTTAAATTTGTTTAAGCTGTTTCAACTATACAAATTGTATATTTCTGTATGGACAAAAATAGTTTATCTTTTGTTTCACAGAAAGTTTTGGGATGACATGAGGGCGAGTAAGTGAAGGCACGGTTTTCATTTTTTGGTAAAGTATCCCTTTAAATTTGAGTCTTGCTCACACATTTGTACATTATGCACTATTCTATGACTTCTGGAATATAGCCTAGCGTACGAGTCATCTGGACCACATTTATGATGATTTCATCTGTCCTTTTTGAAGCTTGAAAGCTTCGGTACCTGTTCGCTGTAATTGTATGGACGGAAGCTACCGGAGTCGTCTTCATTTTTCCTTTTATGATCCAAAAAAGAGACATATACGTGTTTGGAATGACTTGAGGGTGAGTAAAGGATGACAATTTTCATTCTTGACTGAACTATCTCTTCTGGGCTTGTATTCCTTATGTATGGTCCAGAATAAGGGTGTGCAAGCGCTCAAAGGTTTCGCTGCCAGACTGTTTCCTCAGGGTAAATAAACCGCTCTCCACCCAGAGGACCGCGTGTGTGTCATGCTAACTTATCAGCAAACAGTCTCAAACACTCCCAGAGAGTGTTGTAGGTCACAAAATCATTGGGATGAGTCAAACGAGGCCCGTTCTCTGTCCTCATCCATTGACAGGGGCAGAGAGAAAGTAAAACACCACACTGGCCCCAAATTTCTCTCTCTCTCTCTCCAAGTTCCTCACTCCTACTCCAGCACACGGTTCCTCAACACAATAACTCATCTTTGAGTCCAAACAATGCTTTTGTTCTCCATTTTATGCCCCTCCTCTGCATCCCTTCATCTCTCTCTCCCTGCATCCCTTGTTTTGGTGCTCCCTGTGACATCCCTGCCATGTGAGAACAAGAGCCGAGGGTAGAATGGAGGGAGGTAGAAAAGACAGATCGCTTCTTTGTCCCGACGTGACCCAGCTGAATGTCAGCTCTGTTGCCATTAGGTGTGTGTGTGTGTGTGTGTGTGTGTTGCTGCCACAGTCGATGGCTTGGGTTTGATGATGTCAGACAGTTTTAAGGGCTCCTTTGCTGTGGAGTGTGTGTGGATGTGTCTACTTGGTGACATACATAGGCCTAATGTCATCAGATATAATGTACACTGCATGGCTTAAAAAGTATTCATACAGTGAAACCACTTAAATACTGTATATAAGAATGTGCATTACATGTTTTCATTTGTTATATAATTTTATTGCATTATATAACAAATGATATCATTTATCAAAACTAGTGGCATTTAGAGTGATCATACTTTAAGTAAAATATTTTACAAAAAGAGGTTTATTAGATTTAAAATAAAACAGTTCAAAATCAAAACAACAGTACTACATTGTGACTTGTCAGTTTTAGTATCATTGAGATACTATAGATTTTATTAATATTTTCAATATTTTTTTCTTCAGTTTTCATTTTAATTTAAAAGTTTTAATAATTTATTATTATATTCAGAACTCTGTATGTTCTTTGTGCTCTGAGAGGTTAGTCTTAGTTTCCCAAAATGCTCAGCATTTGCTTTGAGCCTCTTTTAGGACAGTTTATGTGTTGTGAGACTCTATTGTGTCACTCTGTTTATTTTCAGCTGTGTGATGTGTGTGATGCCATTAGTGGCCTGACTGTGAACATTTGTCTTACATTTTAGTGTTAAACAATGGCTTTTCTAACTTTTCATTGCCATGGACCACAAAACATAATGACCCCCTTCCTAAAAAATAAAAACAGCTACATACATTTTGTGCATAATTACCCATTTATGCTGTTTTTGTGAAGATAATAATATGAAGAATATGTTGCAAGTAAAATATTTAAATAATATCTGATGTTAGTGCTAACAGGTTTTTTTTTTTTTTTTTTGCTTTATTTTATTTTATGAATGTCACCTTTGTTGCTAGTAGGCGTGTTTTTGGTGTCAGACAGCTTTAAGTTTTTTTTAGTTGTTTTTTTTTTGTTTTGGACTGTGTATGTGTGTATTTGGGGATATAGCCTAATTGTGATAATATATGTGACCCTGGACCACAAACCAGTCATAAGGGTCAATTTTTTCGAATTTATCTGAAAGCTGAATAAATAAGCTTTCCATTGATGTATGGTGATGTATGTTAGGATAGGGCAATATTTGGCCAATATACAACTATTTGAAAATCTGGAATCTGAGGGTGCTACAACTATTTGAATATCTGGAATCTGAGGCTGCAACAAAAATCTAAATATGGAGAAAATCGCCTTTAAAGTTGTCCAAATGAAGTTCTTAGCAATGCATATTACTAATTAATTAAGTTTTGATATATTTACAGTAGGAAATTTACAAAATCTTCATGGAACATGATCTTTACTTAATATCCTAATGATTTATGGCATAAAAGAAAAATAATCATTTTGACCCATACAATATATTTTTGGCTATTGCTACAAATATACCCCAGCGACTTAAGACTGGTTTTGTGCTCCAGGGTCACATATTATAGTTAACATTAAAATATTCTCTGATGTCACTGCTAACTTTCACAGTCATAAAAATTATTTTAGTTTGTTTTAATTTATTTTATTATATGAATGTCACCTCTTTTTGCTAGTAGGTGTATATGTTTGATGATGTCAGACAGCTTTAAGTTTTTTGTGATATAATTGTGATAATATAAAGAATATATTACAGTTAACATTAAAATATTCTCTGATGTCACTGTTTACTTTGACAGCCATAAAAATATTTTATTTTAATTATTTATTTTTTGTTTTGCTTTGTGTATGAATGCCAGCTAAAACATCAATATATATCTAAAATAAACAACAACAAAAAACAAACAAACTGTGATAATGTTTTCAGTATGGTTGATATAAAATGACCTTCCCATCAAAACTCCCTGACAAATCTTTACGGTGTTTTTGCATATTTTTACAGTCATTTGTAAAGATACTTTCAGCAGTATATAAAGTAGATATGCAATCATTTCAGTTCCATTTCACATTAGTCTTCAGTGGTTTATTCTCATGTATACACTGCTGCTTTTTTGCGTCTGTGCGTCACACACATACACAGTCGTCTCTTATCTTTTCTCAATTTTCTCTCTTTTGCAGGTTTTTCACCAGCCTGTCTTTCTCTCCCCGCGCTCATTCTACAGCTGTCACTCAAGACTGTGTGTTCCAGTAGCTCTCATTTGGGATTCAGCTGATGGCGCATTTTGATTGGTCCTGCTTTCAAAGTCAAACCCAATGTCAACACTGTGGTCATGCTCTTTGATTTCCATCCGTATGCAACAAACATGTCTAATATACTCGCATTAGCGTAAACCCAATTGCATTGCCTTGTTTATGCATTCTCATCTTTGAGTTATGTATTCTTATTTTTCCGTTTGTTTTTAGTTGTGTCTCCTCCGGGATTGTAGTAAATTGGCCAAAAATGCCTAAACTGGCATATTTGCAGAAATGTCTAATAAGTTTCACAGTCCCTGTAGCTCTGAACGGAAAAAAGAAAGGGAGAAGGGACCCGTAACCTTGGAAACCAACGGGAATGTCATATTCGGCTGCTTTTGTTAGCTGACGTACTGGCCATATTATTACATTTCTCAAGTTGAGTAAACTGTCATTAGTTGCATTTTTAATGTGCATGTATTTATTTTTACTTTATTATCTAGCCTGTTAGTTTGCTTAGCAGCAAATGGTAAACTGTCAAACTAGTTATTCCCCTATAAACTCATCAAAAACTATGTCAGTGATACTTTGATACTGTATATACACTACTGCTCAAAGGTCTGGGCTCAGATTATTTCTTGAAAGAAATTAATACTTTTATTCAGCATGGACACATTAAATTGACTTTTAAGCTGTTACAAAATATTTATTTATTTATTTATTATTTTTTCTGTTCATCAAAATATCCTATAAAAAGTATTATGGTTTCCACAAAAAAATATTAAGCAGCACAGCTGTTTTCAACATTGATGATAATAAAAAAAGATCAGCAAAATCAGCATATTAGAATGATTTCTGAAGGATCATGTGACACTGGAGACTGGAGGCTGAAAATGTAGCTTTGCATCCCAGGAGTAAATACAATTTTAAAATATATTCAAATAGAAAACACTTACTTTAAACTGTAATATTTTTTTTCACAATATTATGGTTTTATTGTATTTTTGATCAAATAAATGGTGCCTTGGTGAGCATGCAAGTATTTTCAAGAGCAAATAGTCAAAAAATATATACATGTATCTAAAATTTATAATATTTTCAAACTGATTTTACATTTTCATCAGCTGAACTGGTTTAACTTTTCTTTTTTCTAGGCAGGAAAAGCTATGCTGCTGAGAATAATGAATCAGTTGAGTCGGTCGACTAATACGGTTTTTCTGGTTATGAAGGAAAGGTAAAACATGCTTGAAGTTTGTGATGTACACTGTACATTCAAAAGATGCCAGATTCTTCTTCAAAATGGTCAGTTTTATCATATCACTATGCCAGTGTCCTCATATCAACTCGTGTGTTTATATCTCCCTCTCTAATAGGTTCTGTCCGCTTTAATTCCATTTTACTGGAATAAGAGGAGTGGGTGGGAGACTGGAGGAGGAAAAGAATGCAAACCTTTGTCTACAGACACAGCGATGGTGGAAGAGAAAGAAAGCAGCTCTAAATTAGACCCGCCCGCTCACCCCATGTCTTTCTGTCTGTCTCTCTGTATTGTTGTGTCTGGAAGACGTCAGCAGAGGAGAGGAATCTGAAGAGAGGGAGAAATGGAAAAAGAGAAGGATGAAGAAAGAGATGTCTTTGTCTCATCCCATAAACGTGTCCTGGTGAAAGGGCAGCGAGAGGAGAAACAGGGTCAGGAGGTGACTTTCTCTCTCTCACTGTCTTTCTTACTCTCTTGCCCCGTCTTTCTTTTCTCCTTGATGTGATATTGTTATCATCATGCATTCATTTAATTTGTTTGTTGTTAAGGGGATAGTTCATTCCTGTAGCCCAAACAGTAGAGCGTAGCACAATCAAAGCCAAGGTCATGGGTTCAATTACTAGGGAATACATGAACTGAAAGATGAATATCTTTAAGTGGTGTACGCCGCTTTAGATGGCGTGGCTGCCGAATGCATAACTATGTAATGATTCATTCACTGTCATGTCATTCCAAACTTGTATGACTTTCTTTCTCATGTGGAAAAAGAAGATATTTTGAGAAATGTTTTATAGCCATAAAATGGAAGTAAGTGGTAAATAATTACAGACAGTGAGTAAATAATTACAGAATTACAGTGCAACCATTTATTGAACCTTTAGCTTATTTATATTCGATCATATTTGATACATTTTGGATTTAGGACTTATGTAATATAAAGTAAAACTCCAGAAAATTATTTTATTATTTATAAAATGTTATATATATATATATATATATATATATACAGTGGGGCAA